CTGTAGCCGCCGGGGCCATGGTCCACCGCCTCATCCACCAAGGCCGTTAGTGAAATAGCGAGAAATAGGGGCAATCTCCACTCAAGGTGAGCTTCGGCCTGGAGAACCGGCTGACCTTCCAGACCGGGACTTGCGGACGCCGGGCTCATCTTCTCACAGTCACAACCCAGCCGCCGCCCCTCGTCTAGTTACCATGTGCCATCACAGCTCATGGGTGTGCCACCGATGCACCCGCCGTGCCGCCTACCAGAACCAGCGAACCACTCCAGCAAAGACGCCGAGATGCTCTAGCACGCAGACTCACCAAATTGGAGGCTATCGTGTGCTGCCAAGCGTCAACCATCACCATCTTTGGCCTCAACAGATAACCCAAGGACTCTTCGACCTGGCTTGCCAAGAGGTCATTCACCTCTCAGCATTGGCATTTCTTGTCGTCCGTCCTCTGCGCCTCACTACTCAGCTCCCATCACGTCCCGCTGTCAAGTCCCGCAGCGCATAACCAGAAAGAAAGTCAATTTCACCTCACGAATTTATTCCCCTCCGCCCAGCCACTGCCCAGCGCGCTCTTCTCCCTCAGGTTTGCCATGGCAAACTCCCACCGACTCTGCCCAGTCCAATCCAAGATGCTTGAGACGAACACGGTAGCGATCTGAGAAGAATTTTCAACCTCATCTGCCAAATACGGATACCAGTCTTCTTGTTGGCACTGCAATCAACTTCCGGCATTGCTTTCTTGTTGTCTTCTCCACTGTGTCCAACTCGACTGTCAATGTCAATATCAGCCCCCGAGGTGTCACTCGCCAAAGGCCCAAATCTCCAGCGGGAACCACAGATAATGTTGCAATGGGCAATCCAATACTCTGTGCAATGCAAGAGCAGAACAAACCAGAGTGCCAGGCTCCCAGCAGATGCGTCGATGTCGACGGATGTACTCTGTACACAGTCTGACTGCAGCGGCGGTCCAGACCTTCAGGCCAATCATCCCACTATTCGTCTGTTCCACCAGTCATCCCACACCATCCATCCATAATCCATTAGGCCTGCGGCGCTCGGCTGTTGTTATCTCGCCGCACTCGAACCCAGACGGTCCGATGTTTCTGGCGAGTGTCCTATGACAAAGCACTGCGCAATCTTCTCGTATCCTTGCTTGACGGATGCCTCACTGCTGAGCAAATGCAAATCGAGCTGAGCTAGCCCACGCATGACAGACAGCTTCACCATCAGCTCGGGACGGACGGGGACCGACCAAATTCTCCGAATTGTCGATGAAGCAGCGCATCGACAAACTGTCAACCGCAGCCCCAAGAGGCAAAATTTCCATATCGCCGCCAATACGAGGCTTGGAGGCACACCTACAGGCTGTGGGTGTGCTACTTCTACACAGTAAAAGCTTTTAGTTTTGACCAGCAGTGAACCAGCGCTAACCGCCATGTTCCCTGACTCGAATGGGTTTCCAGCACAGTGTCGGTGGTGGTAGCATTCATACTGCCCTTGGGACTTGGAATACAGCGTATGTATCCGTATGGCCACCTACTCGCCAGTTGCCAACTTGCAAGAGCAACAAAAATAGGACAGGCGAAGCGGGAGTCCAATTAACTCTCTTTTGGTGCGGCCTACCTTAAGTTGTTTACTCTCGGCCTAGCGCCAGGCTTAAACGACCCAGACGTCCAGAGAGTCTCCAGAGGGGAGCCAGAGGGACCCGGTCCGAACATCAGATGCGCTGCTGGCATTGGTCTAAAGCCCAGCATCAAACCACCAAACCCGGTCGTGCGAATCTCAATCTGGAATCACCTTCATGCTCGCCGCCCCGATTTTTCAACGACGGAATTGTGGTCTATTGTGGGCTTCTCGACACTGGTTCATCTGCCGCGCAGGAAGCCAATACGATGGACAAACGATTTACTTGCTTTTCCTTCACCCGTCTTGCGTCTCGTTTCTCCCCGTGAATGAGACCTTTGTCCCTTTTATCGGTACAAAGTACTGTACTCAGTATACTGTAAGACGTGACCCGTTTATCAGAATTCAAGAGTCACCAAAGTCTTGCTGATCGTATATTCGGATCTTCTATTCTATGGATTCCATGCGACGTGGTCTGCGGCAGTGCAACTCCAAACAAGCATTCCCTTCTCGTACCGCGTTCGTTTACTATTCTTGTTGATAGTCGACAGAAGATCGTTTCGGTGTCGCTCGCGCCCCGTTTCACACTCATTCGAATGATCCAAATCGCAAAGGGCGTCCATCCATCCCACCCGGCTGTCATCCCGCGGCCACCCAGCGGGATCCCCGTCCGCCGTGTCCGCAGCTCCCACGTTCTCGATATTCTTTCCTTGGATTCTCGCGCCTTATCCTCATTCCTTGTGGCTTCCTCACAAGCAAGTCCTCGTTACCTATCTCCCCCCGGCTCACCCGACCAGCGACTGTCTCCTTTCCCTCCCGGCGTCACCAAAACCTTGAGCCTCGAATGGGCCCACTCTGGCAGGATGATCCCCTCAAGTCCGTGTCAAGTTGATGGGGAATCACTGAATCCGCCTCCAGCTGAACCATCTGCCACAGTGCCAAGAGATGGACACTGCGCTCTGGAGTCTGCGGCGCTGTCAGCGCTGATCGAGATTTTCCCAGACCCGACGTCATCAGTGAGTGGGCTGGTTGTCGATGCCAATCTTCCCATCCGCCCAAGCGGGTTGTTTCTTTCAACCTGGTTTACTGCGGTAATCTAGCCTTCCTTGTCGGATTGGTGAATGATGGTTCCTGTCAACATTTCGTGTGCCTGCTTGTGGTTCCCAAATGTTGATCTCGGAATACTCGAAATGCTTGATTCCTTCCCCTGGCGCTCCGTCGTCTATCGTCCCGTCTTCGGTTGTCGTTTGTTGTTGCCGTTCATCGTTAATCATTAGGCGCGTTATTCGTTTACTCGTTACTCGTGTATTGTTCGCCATTCGTCACTACCCGGTGGGTCGCTAAGGCCATACTGGAATGCAATGATGCATCCATGTGTCTGCTGGCCATGTTGCCTGCCCCATGGCATATCACCATCTGCCAGTGATCTTGAAATAGGCCTTCCCTACACCGTAGCAGACCCCATCCCAGACCTCGTACGTCTCGCGCCAGACGGTACGGAGCGGGTTGCGCCCCGATGGGCGGCCTGATCTGCCATTACGCTGGTATTGATTGACAGTCGTCATTGTAGCTTCTCGTCTCGGTCTCGTGATTTGCTTTGATCTTTGTGCTTTTGGTCCTCGTTTCGTTCCTACGATACGCAAAAGCTCACTTACTGTCACAGAATGAGCAGTCCTTCTGCTTCATTAAATACGTTCGGGCAAAAGCTGCCTCGTCTCACAGAAAGTCTGCCTACATCTTGGTGGCTGTCACCCATCGCCAAGGTCATTGGTCGACCCCGTCAGTCGCCCGTCTTGTCACCCGGCGGTGCGGCCGTCACGAGCGCTCCCGCACAGCCCGCAGCACACCGCACCGCCGCCCGCCTGACAGCAGTTCCATTCGTAGTACGGATTGCACCTGGCCCTACGCTGGAAGCTGAGCTTAATGGAACCAACCCGCTTCGCCGCTGCGGATGGCCGCTGATACTACTTACCTTACTACTCTACTACAACGTGCAAACTTGAACGCTGACCAAACAGAATACAGTGAGCAGCCGACCGGTAGCTGCCTAAAGAACACCCACTAGGGGCATCTCACGGATCCTAACGGCTACCACACGCGCTGATCAAGTGCCTATTTCGACTCATTTCTGACCACGGAGGACATCGCCTTTGCGCCCAGCGTTTATTCAGAATTATCCGACGGGCAGCCTATCAGTGACTCGCTCTTTCTGACGACAGGCACAACGCGACGTTGAATATCTAGTTGGGGGATCGATGGCTGCGGCGCAGGTTCATAACGGCGTCACTACGCTCACAATGACGGAGGCTCACTCATCCTCTCGGTCTCGTTTGATACCACGTACGGGATATCGAGCAACTAAGAGTCTGGGCACACGATGAAATAAGCCTCGCCAGCGACGGTTTGTAGATGTATGCGTGTGTGTCACACACCCACGTTTCCGTGCTAATGTCTCACGGCCCGCGGACACCGACAGCCCTTCGGCCCCTTTCAATACCCCGCGTGCTGTGTTCCCAGCCGGCACTTGCTATGGTTTGTCTTGCCTGTCGTGCATCGCCCACTCATCACTTCGCTCTCATAGGCCTTTTGGGAACGGATTGTGACGGTGAGTAGGAAGGAGGTGATCTGTGAGACCTGGGGACGGCTGAGGCGCTGGTCTCATCTACAGGAAGGCTCTGGCTGGAGAGGCAGTCGTTTCGCAATGTCACGGGTGAGCAAAGAGTCAACAGGCGGTGACTGGTATTCGCCACCGGAATTTACAATGCCATGTAGGCTGTTTAGAACGTAGGCTTGGATGAGTGAATGATACAAGTGTCTCTTGGCTACCTATAGTACAGATAGACTACTGCCTCATGATGATGGTATGTATTCCTCCTCGCTACCTTTGGGACAAGTCTTCTGATGGCTGTTTTCACATGCAGCTGATGGCCAATATTTGGCGACTGCTGCGATGTTCTGTCCTCAATAAACTTTTCCACAAATATCATGCTCGCTCATCTGGGCAAGTTCCTATACATATATCGTAATTCCCTTCTCCCCTATCAGTGTCTTGCCGACAGGCACATGATATTGGTCGTTCACAGGCTTTCCGAGTTCTCTGGCTCGGGTTGAGGACGATGTTCCCTCTGTAAAACGCAATAGGTGCGTCTCGTTGTGCTCTCGTAGCCTCGTCAGACGACAGACTCTTTGTCACTAGTCCACGCCCTAGATGAACATGATGATGTAGCAATCTCTGATATACTGGTGAGAGATGTCAGTGTTCCCGAGCGTTTCGCAGGTTGGAAAGGATGGAACGAACGAGAGTATTCGAAGCAAGTATGTTTGTAAAAGTCACATTTGTAACAATCATGCTGTCTATCGACGATCACCAAGCGCGGGGCTGCTCACTCGAGGCGGATTCTCTTGGTGCCTGCCCGGTTTGTTAGCATCATAAAGGATAGAGTACGAGTCGGGAAAAGGCGACTTACCTCGCTCGCCGCCGTCAGTGATTTTGATAAGGATTCTGGTCTCTCCAGTGGAAACCGCAATCTCGACAGGCTTGCCGTTGCCGTTGCCGGCCTTGCGGTCCGCTTCCTCGGTAGGCATGCTGTCGTACACAGTGACGATCGAGGACAAGCCAAGCTTACGGCGGGGCTTGTACGACTTCTTGGTAGGAGTCGCAGGAGGCGTGAGCATCAAGTCGTCCATCTTCTTGGTCTCACCCTGCTTCTGGAGGAACTTGTCATGATGTTCCCGGAACATCTCGCTGTCGACGTAGTCACAGCTCTTGGACTCCATGTGCTGGGTGAACGGATCATCCTTTTTCTCCCACGCCCACGCCTGCATAGTGCAAAAGTCGCAGACGACGATATCGCCTCCGAGTTTCTGGTTGCCTTCGAAGCGGTAGCCAGCGCCCGCCATGTCCTCGGCGGAAGGGAGGGAGTGAGGCCAACGGCCGGGTTTGCCGTCCATACCGCGGTCGAAGTAGGAGAGGAGACGAACGCAGAATTCATCCATGTTGATGTCGAAGCTTGAGTAATAGCTGAAGTAAGTGAAGGTGCTTGGACGATGCGAGTAGAAGCAGACCTTGTAAAGCCTGCGATGGTTGCTATGTGATCTGGCTGGGGGCTAAAGTGGTTGAGAAAGAAATAGAGTGGGTGATGATGGAGACGCTGGTAATAATTCGAGGCAAGTGTTGCATAGAAAAGGAGGGATAATCACTTTGAGAGTAGAAGGAAGGAGCAGGCTGAAAATGGGAAGGGGGCTCTCGCCAGTTTTGTTAGTTAGCCTGCTTTCTGCGGGATAGAGACGACGCCTCGTGATGAGACGAGCAAGAGTGTGTAAGAATGCTCTTTGATATAGAGCGTGAGAGAGACAAGATGGATTCCATCAGCCCTGGTCGTCACCAAGATACTCGGGCAAGTAGCCCCCTTCCTCCGGGACCAGGGTCCAACTGCTCGCCCAAATTTATAACAACTCACAATGAGGAAGGTGTTGACGCACAAAGATACTAATGTTGACACTGGCTAGTTCTTTGTGGCTTCATTGCTTAGGCTTCTCGGCTTTGTGACTGAAGAGGTAAAACAAAGATGTTTGTAAAGCTGAGGCTTGATTCTTTTCAATGTAACTTTCTTTGTCAACGATGCCTTGAGTCTCGTCAAGGCAACGGAGGAGCTGTTGGTTGACAACCTCCTTCTACGCCAAATGATTCTTGCCCAATTTTTCCGATAGTTAACATGCTCATCTCAGATCATTCTCCCGCGGGACTTCATAATATAGGACCAACGATCCCGAATCCTGCTCTTGGAGTTGGTTTACCTTGAAGTGTTTTCGCTAGAAACATCATGTTCCCGTTGTCGTTGCGTCGTCCCCGAAAACAAAGGCAGAACAAATCATCATAGTCAAAGTATCAACGCAACTATACATGTATACTTGTAGCACCGTCGTCTAATTCATCATCTCCTGGTTGCTATCGGTTACCTCAATTGTTCCAATGCTCCAATTTTCGGGCACTAGCAAGTGGGAAATGTTACATTGTTCGATACTTCCAGACAAAATCATTCTATGATATCGGTGTCAACGCCTTAAAGCCTCCCAAACTTCATTCGCCTTCTCTTACAATGCCCGAGTAGCCAACAAACAGGCTCCAGCTTACAGGCTGCTATGAGTTTCTTAGCATGTATCAAACTGCACCAAAGGCCTCTCCTACCGCTGCGTAGGAGTCTTTCTTATATTTCAGCCAATATTCGATCGTTGCAGACCCTGTAACAATCACCATGTCCATATCGATGCTCTGTGGCGGAACGTAAACCTCAAATGTCGGGGCTGATTGTCCAATCATGCCGTTTAACCTCCCTTCAGGATACCTTTTCCATGTCGCCAGCAGATTGCCCCCGGCATCTTTCAGGTACATCGTGTTCATGGACATGCTCAAATTGGAGACACTCCAACTGTAGCTCAAGCCCCGGTGGTCGAACCTATGAGAGTTCCCCATCGTGTTGGTCTTCATCTTGATCGGCACACCCCGTAGAATGACGTCGATCTTCGAGGACAGGGAATGATATTTCGCTGTGCCCAACGCTTCACCCGATGCCTGCGCGCGGGGGTCTGCGTGTAACACGGCGACTGTTTTGTTTTCTTTGTTGCTATGAAGGACGTAGAATGGTGTCGTGGAACCGGTTGCGAGATCGACACGGTCTATCATTGTTTGGGCACCACCAAGTCGTTCCACTTGGCGGAGGACTTCGCAGGGTGAGCCAGACGGCGTGGGTGTTGCGTCGCAGCCGGAGCTCATCATTTTGTTTGAATTCTGGTTGTGTTGATCGATGCGTCTGTCGACGAGGGAGACAAGTTCATACATTTCTGAGAAACTGTAAAGAATGATGTCTACGGGGTATTTATGTAACAATGGTGCAATATGATCTTGCTTTGTATGGCTTACTGATAGAGCTGGCTCCTACTTCGCTTCGATGGTAATCTGACTGCGATTAAGGTTGGGGGAAAAAATAAGCATAAATACATCCTTTGCCCAGACTCAGAAAGCCTTGGAAATCGGCTACCCTGCCTTGAGCATTATGAGGGATACTTGGAACCCGAAATGGGCGGTTCAAAACGACTTCATGTTTCCCAATGCAGTAAGCCAAGATTCCATCTCGTGGCTTGACGTCGCTGATCTCTGGATAGCCGCTTTTGCTCGACAGGGCTGAGAAACTGTGGCGCAGGGTCTTCCAGCTCTCTTACCCATCCCATGGGTTCCGCAGGAGTCGCCGAAATCGCTAGAGGCCATGTTACTTGCTCATTCGTTCACAGAGTGAAGCATCGGGGATGTGGCAATCGGTCTCAGCGACTTGGCTTGTGGCACAGGATCCGTCAGATGACGTCTGGTCAGCAGTTCTTATGCCACATTTCTTAGCATATCTCATCTCTTAATCAGCTAAATGTGGTCACTTCGGTAGTGCCACGTCTTTCTTCAAAAGGCACTCCGTCCTCGACTTCACCTCAAAAGAGTTGAAGCCCGAATATCTTTCGCTGCCTTTTTCGCAGAATTGTAGAACTCGTCTGGAGTTCATCATGCCTCAACCCCGCACCCCATAGTTTAAAAGCGCTTGCGGAGTCTTCCGCGACCTGTTGGGATGTCTACCAAATGAGGAAGTTTCCCCAGCCAAAAGACTTAGCGTCATGCGCTGTACCTCGCTTTCGTACTTGAAATGGCGGGCGGAGTCACCGCTTCCACCACCTTGGTAGCCCAATTTAAGGTAGTGGAATCCCAAATTTTGACGTTGATATTCCAACGTCACATCTCACCTTGAGGCTCTCAATCGACAGCCAACTACACAACAGCCAGGATGGTGCCACCAATCCGTACGCAAAAGGACGATAAGGCTATTGCCTTCGCCAAGACCCTCGAACATGTGCCTTGGTGCGACGACTATGAGAAGATGGTCTCAGGCATGCTCTACAGCTGCATGGCGCCGGAGCTAGTAGCATCAAGACACCGCGCCCGTCGACTGGCTCAGAAATTCAACACCTACGTTCCAGGAGACGATGAGTCTGCAGACGACGTTGCCAACAAGAGAGTGGGCATGATCAAGGAGCTTTTCGGCGCTATTGGAAAAGATGTCTACGTCGAGCCCAGTTTGCAGGTTGATTATGGCTGCAATATCACGATCGGAGATCGCTTCTACGCCAACTTCAAGTATGTGATCTTGTTATGAGAGGCCTTATTTTCCTTTGAAGCAGACGATGCTGACCAAGAACCTGCAAAGCTGCGTCATTCTCGACTGTGCCCATGTGACCATTGGGAACAATGTCATGTTCGCCACAGGAGTCAGCCTCATCACAGCAACCCACGAGACTGCCTTGCAGTCCAGGAGAGACAACATCGAGTACGCAGAGCCCATCACCATTGGTGATGACTGTTGGATTGGAGCGAATGTCACAGTGTTGCCGGGAGTCAACATTGGCAAGGGGTGCACCATTGGTGCCGGCGCTCTTGTGAATAGAGATATTCCGGATTACTCAGTTGCAGTTGGTGTTCCGGCCAAGGTCGTCAAGAAGGTAGAACCGCTTGCCTAGACAAATTTCGGGGGGAAAAATACAATCTTCTATTTAATATGTGTTGCGTGAAGTTGTGAATTAGCTCTGCCAACCAAAACCCTTTGACCTCTGCCCGGCTTTGCGAAAGTCCGCGCTGTAAGTAAACACCGCAACCACGTCTTTCTAGTATCTGCTTGCTTCAGCCGTGGAATACACCGCAGACCCTATCGGCTACAATAATTGCTGACTTGTCGAATGCCTTTGATTCGACAAAAGACTTACACATCTTTGTCTGACACAAGGAAGAGCTGTGACGAATCCAAAGCTAGGGTCTCCCAACCACCATGACTTGGGCTATGCTCAGTTCTTGTTCAACACAAAGCGTTCGACAAACCAAAGATTCGGTATCCAGGAGATGTATCCGGTGATAGACAGCGCAAACTTGACTTCCATCCCAGCGGCGATCATTAGAGGCAACTGCCACCGCAGCATCACCGCGGCATAGGTCAGAGCAAAGTTTCTCGTCATCCAAGCTTGGTGACTCTTGATGTCTCCATGCGATCGAATGGCAACAATGCTACGTCTAGCAGTCTCGAGCCATCCCAAGGCGAGGAGGCCAAAGCCAACCTTGCCCCATGTCAACGCCTCGCTGTTGAATGTGACGTAGAACGCTGCGATGCCACCAGTCGTCACGGCGAGGACGTAGACCCATCCTAACCAGCGATGAATCTGGATGTATTTCTGCCGTAGCTGCGGGAGGAACTGGAAGGGACCGAGACCCATGGCCACGAGGGAACCTCCGATGTGGATTACGCCTCCGAGCGAACTGATAATTCTCGCCTTGATTTGTGGATCGCCTGGGGTATTTCCAGTGAAAAATGCAGCGCCGTAAGCTGAAATAATGAATGATGGGATGGCCATGAGCCACCATTGAAAACTCGGCCAGCTAGAACGCGACTGGCGAGTAGTTCCTGATGTCTTCTTGATCGAGGCCCCATGTTCAGATTTGTGTGATTTGACAGTTCGGACATCCTTGGGATTCGGGTCCTCCTGGACTAAAGCTTTGCGGTGTGAGAAGCTTGAGTTAAGCATAGTGACGTGGCGATATTGATGTTGTCGTTGTAAGCCGCTGTCAAATGTCATGCGTGAGCCTAATTCTGTGAATGTGGTTGGAGCTTTCTTACAGCCGTTGTATAGGATTCCAAATGTGACACTAGATCTGTAAAGAAGTATGCTGAAGAGGGAATACTACATCCCTTTATAACGAAACTGTAGGACGATGGGTGGCTGTCGTGGGCGGCTAGCGGGGTTTGATGTTCACCGTAGTCCGGGCAGGTGGATGTGAAACCGCAAGGTAGTACAGTCAGTCGGCACTTACTGTGCGGTTGGCTAACGGAGTATTCTAGTATGCTACTTTGCCGCCGTATGTATTGAAGATAGTCTAGCCTTTGGCACACGTGGGGTGACGTGTTCCTCTTAAGACGAACCCTCCCTACGGCCGCTTGCAACACTCCGAAGATGTATACTGATTTCCGCACTTCCCGTAATCGAGCGGCATAACCAGCTTGTCAATCTATTATTCGTCATTGGCGGTCATGGGAAGCTTATGTGTCTGGGTTTCTTCCGTCTAGTTTAACAGATGGGTTTGGGCCGACTCCAATGATCCAGGCTCTAGTACAACAGGCCAATCAAAATTTTGTCATTCTCAGAAATCAAATAGAAGCCAAGAGTAGAGTGGGCGATGGGAATGCTGACGTGCCATTATGTGACTCTAGCGCAGTCAATGTCAATGCTCGCTTTCGCGGGAACGGGCTATTCCTCCGTTTTTCGGCGGACGAACGGACTGTTCCGTGTGCCAGTGTCCTTACCTCGTCTTTTCTTCAGTAACCCGTGTCTTATATAATTCTGGATATAATATTTTCCTTTCAATTCCAGAGATCAAAGATCCATCTCCTCTACGCTGTCTTCGTGAGGCCTGTCTACGCGGTGGCGTCAGGACCGCCAGATCTCAGCGACACCAGATGCTAGTGGTGCTCGAGGTAAGGTACCTTGATTGGAAATAGACGGTTTTAGCATGCTTGAAAATTTCAAAAGAAGAAAAAAGCTTAGAGAATTGTTTGGATTTTATCTATCATCGACATGGATCTGAACAAGGAAACGAGTCATCGATCTTGCTCAAAGATGGTGGCTGGAGATAGACATCGTTCGTTGGTGTCGCGATTTCTATAGGTGACTTACATTCGACCTCCTTACCACGGTGGCGCCTTTCAAGCTACCGTTTCACGGCGAATGGAAGTGTGTCCGTTACAATCAGTCCGGTTCAGATTGAATGTGGTCAAGCTCCCACAAGTCAATTACTCAATATTCCAACTGTAATCTCTAATGCGACTTTCGCCGGCCTAGGATCGGCACAATGTGTAGAAGTAAACTACAATTTGGTTTTATTGTTCATGGAAAGTCTGTCGTTGTTTACAAGGGCAGCACAAGAGCCTCAGTCCCCTCCCACGCGGTTCGGCTGACCATTTGGTCTTGTGCTAATTGCATGTTAGCTGTCAATCAATTGAGTCTAATTACTGAGGACACACTTCATTGCCAACAGCCTAAGTCTAGTTTTTCCTCTTCACTAATATGATGGGATAATAACTCCGTCAACAAATCGTGTTGCTGTTTCTCTGCAGCATGCTTTCACATGACTAAATGAAGATGTGGCCCGCCGTTGGAATCCACTAAATAAACTTGCCGGTGTCAACGTCTGTGTTGAGCCTCGACCTGTAACAATATGGCAAGTTGCCAGACAAGAGAAGCTTAAAGACGACGTCGGTCTTCTGAGGATTGCCTGAGTGCACAGGGTCGTTGTCGAGTTTTCCCATACAGGAAGGTTCAACAAGCTATGAATATCCAGTCTCAAGAATGCTGCACTCTTTGCTCGCTCTTGTGAAAGTCATTTCCACTCATCGCTTATGCTTAGTTCTGGGTTTCGTCAATGCCGATTTTGTGAAAACATGGGAGTACGAAGACAGGTGATGGGCGCCACATACTCACGGAACTGCCGCGTCAGTAACGGATGTAGTTCACTGTTCAGCACGGAACCTCGGCAGAAAGATCAACGGATCACCAACTCGAGTCAATACCCTGCAGTTGAAGAATACGACAATAAAAAAAAACCGGGCACCGCCGCAGGCCCGCAGCGGCCGTTTTCAAACGACCAATGTGGCTGAGAAAATGACAAGGACCACGGCTATGGCCGTGTTTGCCTGTTTGGGCCTTTCAGTATAAGTCGCCGACAGAGTCTTGACCAGAATCAGTTCTGACGAGATCTGCTAGCAATACGAAGATGGCCATAGCTTACCTCCGTACTATGTATATCCGTAGCAAGGGCGGTGGAGTCGCTGGAAGCTTTGATCATCGGCCTTTTAAATGAGCGAGAACGACTCAGTATCTCCTCCTGTCGATGATTGTATAGACGACTAGGTGGGTTCCAGCTAGCCCGTGGCGGAGCTCCTTGAGCTTGACTGAGGCCTTCTGGTACCATATGCTCTAGTCACAATGGGCTGCACGAATTCACGCCATTCCCGAATTGTTTCAATGATCTTCGACTCCATTTTTCTGTCTGGTCCCTTTCTATAATATATGTACATGTATCATAAATATTCGTATGCATCGTATCATGGTATCTCTGAGCAACCTGTGCTTGTTGTACGCGTTCACTGAACAGCGACGGCGGTCTTGCCAGTGCCGTATCCAATGTTGGTAACAGGGAGGGTGGTCAAAGCCTTGACGGAGCCGAGGCCACTAGGGCAGGCAGCCTGGTTGCTAACAGCCAGGTTGAGGGTGCAGACCTCATCGACACCCCAGGTGCAAGCAGGGTTCTGGATGTTGTAGAGAGCGTAGTTCTTGGCAACGAAGCTGTCGGGCTCGGCGAGGCAGGAGGCAAGGTAGTTCATGCTGTTGGCAGCAGAGAGAGGGAACTTTCCGTCCTTGAGAAGGTGTCCACACTCGCCGGCATCGACGGCCTCCCAGTTCATGAGAACACCACCACCAATGGTGGGGTCCTCGGTGGCAGACTTGCCGGTGGTGAGGTAGTTCCAGGCGTCGTAGGAGATGTCGAAGGCACCACCAGATTGGTCAATGCGGAGGAGGTGAACGCTGCGGTCACCGTTGGAGACCTTAAGGCAGACGTCGTTGCAGCTAAGAGGGTTGGGCCAGTAGGCAACGCGGTTGGTGTCGATCTTGCAGCCGAGAACACCAATGGAAGAAGAGTAGGAGTCGTGGGGCGTCATGCTGTATGAACCGGACTTGCCGGCGTCCCGGATCGGGATGGTAGCGGCCGAGACCAAGGTAGCCGAGACGGCAAGGAAGGTGGTCAAAGTGGTAGAGAACATCTTGACTGAAGTTGAAGGTGATATGTGTGGTTCTTTCCGAAAAAGGATTGTGTGTAGTTGATTTGGCGGCCAGGTAGATGGCTGTCTTCAAAGATTCGAGGCTGAAGGTGGGATGGACTTTCACGTCAAGGGACAGGAAATTTGGGCTTGCGAAGGAGTGAAGCTACTGGTTGAGCGTTCAAAAAGAGTGATGCCTGATCTGGGAGCTTTCAAAGCTGGCCGAGGGAATGACTGGGGAAAGAAGAAGAGTTGAAGAGGGAGTGTAAGGATGGTGGTGGTGTTTAGAACAAGACCATCCCAGAAGAAGATGAGACTGGGGGGTTATATACAAAATATCATCCCTACAGGAGACGAGATGAAAACGTTAAACATCAGCCGGAAAGATGAGATGTCACTCACACGTGCTGGCCGTCAGTGCCTTGCCAGACTTGCTATTCCCTTCGGTCCATCTGCGGAGGCCCACGTAGCAAGGCGCTATGTCCCCACAGACGGCGCAATCCTCCACGATGACACTGCGCCTGCACAGCTGGACTTGGATCCTTTGAGTCTTAGCCTGGGATGGGAGGGGCCGAAGAGGACCGGAGACGTTTGTGTGCCTGGACTCTGGAGTCTTTGAAGAGAGTCAGCGACTCCAACGGACCCGCAGGGCAGGAGTTGGCGAGTCGGGTTCGTTGTTCAATCAAGACCTGCCATGAATCTGACAAAAAAAAAAAAAAGAGGCCGTGGAACCTTCAGAGAAATCTTCCCCTCCCCCTCATCACGCTGCGGTGTTACTGTCAGAAACAAAGTAAGAAACTTAAGTTTAGGAAGCCCTAACGGGAGAGCCAGTCGCGGGAAACATTACGCTAGGCAAGGTCCAAGGAAGACACATGGAGTTTGTCAGTTGGTTAGGCGCAGAGATTCAGCCAAAGTCGGAGAAAAGACCAGGAGAAAGACATGGCCAAGGCCCAACGAGGAAAGGGGGGTGCGCTCTGTCAGGGGGTGAAAATCGCTCATGGGTCGCCAAGGGGCCCGGATTAGGTTTAATGACAGGAACGGCTCAGGAACCAAACGCTCTTTGGCTCGTGCTAATCCATAGTTCAGGTCCCGACTCCCAAGTAGAAGGGAGCCAAGGGGCGGTACATCGGCAAGGCGTCGGCCACATCTCATGCCAGCACGGGAGTTGTGTGGGCGCTGTGCCTCTTGGAGCCTCGAAGGAACATTGAAAGAGGGGGTGTCCTCGGCGGCCAAGGCCCAAGGGCTGAGAAGGATGGCCTTTGAGATGACGGCGGATGCAGGTACAACGCAACGCAACGTACGGGAACCTGGGCGTACTGCCGAACGGGAGGGCAAAAAGAAACCGACCAGGCTTGACTGGTTCGAGAGGCACAGAAGGGAACCCGCCGCCACGCGGTTCCAGCCCTGACGCTTGACTCGGCGCGGAGGCGCGGACGGGTCACCCGCAAGGACCGGAGTCTGCTTCTGGCCAGTCGGAAGATGGGGATTCCAACCTAGAAACAAACCACGAGCCCACGACATGCGTAGTGTGCAGCGATCGACAGGGCGGATTGTGCTACGGTGCTAGTTTTTCACAAAAATGGTCCCACAAGGCTCCAATACCCGAGCCAGCTTTTTGCTTTTTGCTCTGCCGTTTCGGTTTTCCAAGAACTCCTCCAACAAGTCGCGAAGTCACGGACAAGTCTCACGGGTCTCCAACAGGCTCTTCCACTTGCCCCGAAAGTATGGATCACCGGGCACACAGAGTTGGAGCCAGTTGGCGGGCGTGCCCGCTTTGCCAACTCGCCAACACCTTCTCCGCGTTGGCAACCGGGCGGGACTTGACGGGTACGTGACGGCCAGTTGGCGTCATGTCGAACAACGGATGGAGGGGTAAGACGACCAAGATGTGTGTTGAGTGTTCTAGCCAGAAGTGCTTGCAGCTTGTACCCATCTAGCGGGGTTTACGTCGTTTGCCAATGAGAAACTTGGTTTTGTGAGCAGAGGGATAGGAAAATGGTAGAGGCTACTTCTTTTGACGAAAAGGAAATGCCTCACCGCGGCTCACCGCGACGGCGGCGAAGTGGCACGCAACCGGCTGGAATGCAGGCCCTTTCCAGTCGCATTCTTTCTTTCTTTCTTTCTAGACAATGCTTTGTAAGTTGCAACTGTCAGATTTTTTCCCTTTCTTACATCCTAATAGGTCCGAAAGAATCTTCATTCTGAGCGATTTATGTCCGTACCTTGCCCGATCCCGGCACTTTTCCGAGGTCCAAGAAGAACTTGGAGGAGGTCTAGGCCGTTTCCATCTCATGATATTTTCCATCACCGCACATGCACGGAGAATCCTCCGCTGCTGACTTCTGTCAGCGCCATTCTGTGCTACTTCGGCAGTTGCTGGCACCTCACCATGGGCTTAGTCATAATTGTTAAGGGCCCTTTGCCTGGGTAAATTGTTCTTCCTCTCAACAGACATCCTGAGGGATTTCCAATGCCACTATTTCTGAGTCATCCATAGAGAAATCACTCATGGGTCCTGAAGTCCGCGTGGCTGCTGCAAACGGACGGACCGGCGGCTCGACCAACAAAAGTCTCATTGAAACAAACTTCTGCACCACACAGACGGACCACTGAACAAACCAACAACTGCTTTTCGGCACTCTGTTTCGGTAAAACTTTCGGTAACACGCAAAAGAAAGAAAGATTAACAATCGGGGCTAACTAAGCTTAAACCAATGGAGCCTAGCCAAGGACCTGAGATCCGACGTGAGAAGCTCAGTTATCTGTAGAAACTTGCGATTGCCCCATCATCTGAGGCTTGAGCAATGAGCATTTCAAATTTAGCTAGTTGTTTTCGATTCTTTTTTTTTTTTTTTTTTTTTGAATTATTTTCGCAACAATTGTTTCGACACCGTATTCAACTGAGCAAGTGCTAAAAGCAACACCCGGGTCAGTAGGCATTGCTGCGAGTTGAGCAAATGGCGGGGTTACAACGAGTCTCAAGAGTGCGACATCGACTGAAGGTTGAGTGACCGTATGTGAGTTGCATCAACTTCGTTCATCGCACGATGCCGAAAACATTGCATTTTAAGCAATTTAGAGATAGTGGTTTTCTATTTTACCGTTTGGGATTTATCGCTTTTGCGAATTCTCAATCGATCATGACCAAGCGACCACTTGAGTCACCACCTGGGATCTGAGCTAACACCACAACCATGAACTGATCTCTAGCAATTTTGCTCTGGACTGGGTACCTCTCCTTGATCGTCTTCCGTTCCAACATTCCAGACCATTCCCATTGGCCATTCCTGAGTATGGGAGATTTCATCTGACCCCCGTTAACGAAAACTTGCATCGACGCTGCTTCAGCCGAATGGTCAACTTTCAGCAACCCACCAAGAGCGATGTGGCGTCTTTCCAAGGCCTCCGTCGAGGCATCTTCTACGACCACACTAGAGACGGACAACTCCAGCTTCCCATATGTCTTGATAGGGCCTTGAATCAAGTTGACTTGGAGTATGTCTGTGTTTAGTGGAGGTGCCAACGAGGGACTCTCTCTGCGCTTTCTCGATGACTCAAACGCATACGCATAACGCAACAAGTCGCTGTCGCTCCAAGCCTTGCCCGCAAATGTCAATCCAACAGGGATCTTCTTGTCAGACAGTGTTCCCATCGGCACAGTGATGGCGGGCACACCCAAGTGCTTCAAGGCACGGTTGCCATTGGAGTATTTTAACCCGTCTTTTAGAGAATATGCCATGGACTCACGATTGTCCTCGGAATCAGCTTTCCCGACATCGCCATTCGTGGGAAAGACGATAACATCAAAGCCGTTCTCGTCCATCCAGTCTTCCAAGTCTCTCTTACGAGCCTTCTCGAGAGCGATCAACGCATCTGCACAACCTGGAAGATCGTAGATGGAGTTGGGCCGATTGCGGATGAAGTCAATCATCTCTGCGTACCGGACATGGTTCTGCTGCTCGGTGTGCTCCGACCGATCATCCAACGGCGCAAAGTCGGGGTTGATCTGGCGGTAGTCAACGCCTTCAAGAGAAGGGCACCCGGAATCGTTGTTGTTGCGCAGAAAGTCATCCCATGCAGTGGCAATCATCTGACACCTCTCAGTGTCAATCCAGGTACTCGGGATGCCTGGCACATTGGCAGCTTGCCCGGGAAAGAGTTGTGTTGAGTAGTTCTCGACCAGAGGGAAATCAGTTTCGGTGATTCTGGCACCCAGCGTCTCAAGGTCAACTCGAGCTTGCTCCCATAACTTCCTAGTGGCTTCCGAACAGACAGCAGAGTATCCGGAAGAAGCTTGCTTCCCGATATAACACTTGGGGATAGCAATATGCTTCCCTTGCAATGCCTCTGGGTCTCTGAGGGATAGAAAGTCTCTTGGCCGGATCTCGGAGCTACGTGGAATAGGCACAACCTTCTGCTCGCGCCAAAAGTCACCTTTGGGGTGCGCGTCGTCGGCAATAATGACGTTCAGAAGAGCCAGCATATCAGCGACAGACTTGGTGTGAGGTGCGACAACATCGCACGTCGGGTATAACGGCCAGTGGCCGCGAGAAGGAATGACGCCTCTCGACGGTGAGTATCCCACTAGGGCATTGTGCGAAGCCGGCGCTCGACCAGATGAAACTGTCTCGCCGCCGAGGCCAATAGGGGCGAATGAGGATGTCGTGGCTACCGCGGAACCGTATGAAGAGCCTGATGCGAAACTGGTGCACAAGTACTCGGGGTTGTAAGGGCTGGTTGAACGGCCGTAGAGACCTCGCTGACTTCCTCCATCGGCCATGGGAGGCATCGTGGTCTTTCCAATCAGTACTGCTCCTGCGGCGCGCAATAGTTCGACGACCGCTGCATCTGAAGACGCGACGAGGCTTTCGAAGGCTGGGGACGCAGCTGCAACTGTGAGCCCCTCCACCTTGTAGCTGTCTTTCACGGTGAAGGGGATCCCTTCTAGTGATCTCCGGGGACGGCCTGATGCGCGGTAGGCGTCGGAAGCCTGCGCCTCATCGAAGACTTTGGGATTGGTGATGCAGATAGAGTTGAATGATGGCCCGCGGTGATCGAATTTGCCGATTCGATGGAGGAAACGTGCGACAAGGTCTACGCTGGTGATTTGAGATTTACTCAGCGCATCCTGTAATTGACTTATTGACGCTTCAGTAATGTTGAGGGATTGTATAGCCTCCATATTGCTTGGTGTCTTATAAGAGACTTGCACACTGGCAGAGGCTTGGTATGACTTAAAACGCGCCAACTTGGTGAGCACAGAAACAGTGCATGAAGAGGAAATCAACATCCATAAATCGAACCCCACAGAGAATGACTTTATATCCCTCTTTGACCTTTAGCCTACACAGTCTTCATCGCGAGAGCCTCGTTTGCTCGCTCAACTACCAGGGCGGAAGGTCGAGACGGTGACAGTTAAGCGAAGGTCGAAGCGGGAACGGAATGTCGAGCCGCGAAACCCCCGTTGAAGACGCCAAAACGGTGCAGCCAACGCGAGTTGATTAGTCCGCGCTCCAATCCGACGCTAGCGGTTCTCCGGGCCTCGACTTGCACTTAGAATATCTTCGCATTTTCTCGGACATCGAGGCCATCCACTTCTTCTCTGAGATCATGTCAGCAAACGATAAATGGTTTCTGTTACAAATTGAAATCAGGCCAGTGGAAGTGTTGGTGGTTTGATCACGGCCAAGTTTCTGCGCAAGTATCACACGGCCTTAGGTGTGCATCTAAGGTTGCGAGGAGAGGGAGATTTTGACCTTTCTATCGGTCAGCGTTGATCATGGGCAAGTCCGGACTCAGGAAATCAATGAAGGGTGAGAGAGGTGGTTGAATCAAGTGACATGTAAGATGTCCTCACTTACTCACCGAGATAGAGCTGAGCCAGCGAAAGTGTGGATGACGTATGTTGCGTCTGCGACAGGAAAAACTTTGACGACGGTTTGTTGACACGATAAAACAATTCTAGCAGTTACAATAAGGGCTGTAACTTCTTTCAGCCCGATGCTGAAATACCTATGCATGTAGCAGCGTCTGGAAAAGCAGATCGTGGCACAAGTTGATGAAACGTACCTTGCTCCGAGGTAGGTAAATTCTCTTTACCAGCGATGAGCCTGAAACTCCTGAACATGACACCGGTCTTAAATCAAATGCACATGATGAGCTACGCGAGGCTCATCGCAAGCATTATACGGTGGATGAAGAATACTGGGTGCTCGGCTGTGAAGGACTAGACCACGCACATGGGCTGCGCAAGGCCGCAAGGGTGACAACCAGGACACATGCTACCCCAGAGCCCAGTCTTAATCAAGAGGTACGTAAGTACATTCAACTAAAAACATCCGAATCATAGCTCAGTTGGTTCCCTATGCCCGGGTAGTCGGGACGGCCTAGCCCGTGACATCACCAATGGAATTGATGTCAGATGACAACCTTGCTGTAGAGGACAGGATGAACCACTGGAGTACTACCTCGTCCTAACCGTCAACAGGAAATTTCCTACATTGCAGAAGCTTTCCGTACTTTTAGAACGCTTAGTTGTACTTGGTTTACGCTTTAAATTCATGACAAGACTGTTCATATACCGAAGTACAACGCTATGAGAGGATAGTTGTCCTCTTAAGTCTCTGCAGTCCCGATATTTTATAGGCAGGGTTGTGTATTGGCGTGTTGATTGGTTTCTCTGGTTGTTTTCAGCAACGCTATGAGATCTTGATCAGTTACTAACCATTTGTATCTTGCAGCGTGTTACTTCGGAATCTAGAACCCGAACTTCAAACTACCTTACCTTACCTTCGAGTATCTTCTAATTTCTTGTAGGAAATTTTTCGAAAATCCCAAGACTTTCAACGAGCATTGGGAAAATTCCGAGCCGAATCTAAATCTCTTGTCTACTCCGTTAGCAAGCATCTAAACATTTGATCCTGTCAAAACATGAATGTCGCTCATTGCGGACACCCGTACTTTTCTCGAGTGTCCACGCGCCGGCAAGTTGCCGACAGACCCATTCTTTAGGGCTGGTGGACCAAGAAGCCAAGCAATGCTTGATCTCCTCGGAAGTGTGACCCGAGGCTTGTGTGCCGCGGAACGCGGTGCTGACGTTAGGCTTGGCATTAGCAAACGAACCAGATGATGAAGCAGTAACATGAGCGCCAGGGAGTTTTCCATAAGGTGAGAAACTGACATTATAAGTTACACAGAGAGCGGACTGCAGTTTTTACTGCCAAAGCATTAACAGCGAAAGACCGCATGTGGTCCGGTCACTGTTTGTCTTCTACCAGCATGAATCCTCCATGTACAGTAGCTTCTTGAACTTCATGCAACATCGCAATCTTTCGCCTTGGCTAATGTACGCTTTTTAGCGATAGAAACCCCTCGTTGGATCCCCGTCGGGTCTCGTATTCAGTCCACTAAGACTTAGCAAGAAGTATATCCTACAGCGGTTCCCGCGCACATTGTCACATTCGCGGGTTTCACTCTGTGCGCGTTATTGATCCCACCCCGGCCGAAGCAGCTGATTGGGACGACAGTGTCGATCTGCGCGAATAGAAAGGTGGGGTATGATCAGATAAGATGATCTAATCCATCAATTTCATCATTCCTTCAAAGCTAAAAGAGTAAAAACATCCCGTTGTACGGTCATCTTCAGCAACAGGCTTTCTTGGCAATAATGTAAGGTTACAGAGATGGGGAACCCCAATGACACCTTGCCCAGGTCCACCCGTGGAGATGGTCCGAACAAAAGAGGATGAAAAACGTTTCGCATCTCGATTTGAGTGGTTGCCTGTTGACGTTTTGGGGTATGGTGGGTGAGATGGGAATTTGCCAAGTGGGTTGATGGATGTCGGGTACGCTATCTGACGCTATCTCCCCGACGTTTGGAGATCACGAGTAAATCCTCCCAGACCCTTGTCCTTCCCTACCAAATCTGACTTACACGGGGCTTTGGTCTTGATTCTTCTTTCTTCGAGCCACTCGAAACGATCTCATTAATCCCAATCAAGTCACTGCGCTGTTTATTATTCGTTATTTGACAAAATTCACAGAATGGACGGCTTCAAGCTTCCCGAAATCCCAGCCTTGACCTTACAAGAAGGCGTCAAGAAGGACGAAGTCGACGCTGAAAAGATTTCCAGTGAATGGCTCTCCAAACTCGAAAAGCGGTTTGCGGAAAAGTCTTTCAGCAACATCTCCGACTTGTTCATCGACAACTGTTGGTGGAGAGACATTGTCGGCCTCTCATGGGATTTCACCTGCAAACAAGGTCAAGACAACATCAAAAAATACCTCGCCTCAGCGAACCATGGCCTCTCCGAGCTGCAGACGAACAAGCTTGGCGGGCTGAAGCCGTTGCTCCTTGACTTTGACGGCATGGTCTGGATCCAAACTGGCTTCACCTTCAAGACGCCGCATGGCGAAGGAAAAGGGTTGCTCAAGCTGGGCAACACTGGCAAAGACGAGTGGAAAGCGTGGACTGTATTTACGCAGTTGGAGAAACTTGACTTTCAAAAAGAAGTTGAGGAGCGACATGCGACTTCAGTTCCGATACCAAAGACGCCCGTTACCGATGGTGTCAATGGTGTCAATGGTGTCAACGGAGTCAATGGCACCAATGGGCACGCACACTCAGAGTCTGAAGAGGATCTGCAGGTTCTTATTGTCGGCGCAGGTCAGTTCCCAGTGTTCACACCCAGCCCCTTGTTCCCTTCCCTTCCCTTTTCGCTAACAGAAGACACACCAAACAGCCCAAGCCGGCCTAATGCTCGGGGCGCGCCTCCAACACATGGGCATCAAAACCCGCCTCATAGAACGCAGCGCACGCCTCGGCGACTCATGGAGAGAACGATACCAGAGCGTCACGCTGCATACGCCGACCTACACCGATCACTGGGCTTTCATGAAGATTCCCGAGACCTGGCCGCGATTTTTGACGGGCGACAAGGTTGCCGAGTTCATGGAGCATTACGGCCAGCTGATGGGGCTCGATATCGCCTTCAACACGGAGGTCACAAAGGCTACATACGATGAAAAGAAGAAGAGATACTACGTCGAAGTTCGCACGTCAGAGGGAGTACGGACGTTGTCGGCGCGTCATGTAGTCCTAGCCACGGGCGTGTACGGCGACCAGCCCAAGATCCCGCAGTTCCCAGGGCAAGAGAGCTTCAAGGGGCAAATTTACCACTCAAAGTACCACAAGACTGCCGCCGAGATCCTTGATGTAACGAACAAGAAGGTCGTGGTCGTCGGCTGCGCCACCAGCGGCCACGATATCTCAGCCGACTTTGTCACGCACGGGGCCAAGGAGGTGACGATGGTGCAGCGACACCCAATTTTCTCCATCTCGCGTGAGTCATGGGAGAACTTCATGCTCTCGCTCTGGACGATCCCAGGTCTCAGCACCGAGGAGGCGGACATTGTGGGCAATGCTATCCCACTGGCACTGATTCGGAGAATGAGCATCGGATTGACGCAGGCGATGGCCAAGAATGACAAGACGGTACATGACGGGCTCAAGAAGGCTGGGCTAGAGATGAAGGAAGGAGAAGACGGGTATGGGTTGGCGGACTACCAGCTCATCAAGGGCGGGCAGTATTACATCGACCAGGGGGCGAACCAGATGATTATTGACGGCAAGATTCGGATCCAGAGGTGCGAGGAGGGCATCAAGGAATTACAGACGGACGGTCTGGTATTGGCGAATGGCAAGAAGCTGGACGCGGATGTGGTGGTGCTCGCGACGGGCTTCGAGCAGAACATCACTACAGTCGAGAAACTGCTTGGACCGGATGTCGTTCAGAGGCTGGATGGGTTCGCGAACTTGGATGCCGAGCAGGAACGCTCAGGAGTGAGTTTGATGATCTGTATGCTTGACGGAATTGTGCTGACTCTTCTTTAGTGGTGGCGAGCCACCGGAGTGCCTGGTTTCTGGTACATGACTGGCAGCTTCATGATGTGCCGACAGTTCTCCTTGCCGCTGGCGCTGCAAATCGCAGCGGTTGAGAAGGGACTAAACACGTCATACTACGACTAGAGCTGTTGATACTTCAGGCCAGTCGTGCTGGGATGATTATACTGAGGCGTGAGGTTGACATGAGCCCTGGATGACGGCCGGGCTAAAGGGGAAGGGAGGTGTAAAGGAAAAGGGGGAAAGCTAGTGAACTTGGATGACCCCGCTGAGTCTATCATCGCGAACTTTCTTTCAACATGGAAGGTTAGACGGTTTCATTCAACATCAAAGATACCCAGGAAGAGAGGAGAAGAATACTTTTATAAATGCTGCCAGGCAGAATGGAGATGACCGCAAAGCTCCCCGAGTAACTCGGAACTCTCGGTCTGCGATAGATCCCAGACCAGGCACAAATATAATTTGCCAATTAACGCAGTCAAAGTCGACTTCAATCATGACTCAGTCTGGGAATGAAACGAAAGACATCTTCTTGGCCAAGAGGGACAGTCCCAAATTCTCGGTGTTCTTGTTCCTGGGGATCAAGGTGAGCAAGGTGAGTAGGAGGTGAGCTAGGTGAAGTGAAGAAGGTGGGCCTCGGTCACAAAAGGAAGACCCATCTCACCGTGCCTTATGCTATCAGCACGTGATGGCGCGCCCGGACCCGATAAGGACAGCCTCTAGAGAAGTGTCCTCTAAATCCATGTGCCAAAAGGTCGGCCGGCCACCTTGCGAACCCCGGATCGACAGCTGGCAATAAACCACCATCTCGACGCAACAGCCACAACCACACCTCTTTCGCGATCGCAGCCCTCTTCACAACCGTTACTCTCCACGACTTTACAATCCCCGGACGCGGCCACCCGAATACCCCTAGTACCAAAGACACAACTGACGGACCCCCGCGACCTCGTGAATCGCACGAAACAGACAAACCAACAGAACATCACCACATCCACACAAACAAACCACCGCCCAACATGACAGACCTCACGCATTTTGACCTCCTTCCCCTCCAACTAGACCCGCAATCCAAATCCCTCTCCTCAACCTCGTCCTCGCGCGCCCTCGCCGCCGAGCTCTCCCAACTAAACGCCCTCCACCGCTCCCTCATCACCTCCGACACAACAACCCAGCACGGCGTGCCCCCGCCGCCCATGCCCGTGAACCCCAAACGCTCCGCCCAGGTCGCCAAGCTCCGCGACAGCGGCAACGCAGAGTTCCACAAGAAGAAGTACGGCGACGCCATCAAGTTCTACACCCTGGGCCTGCAAATGGCCCTCACCCGCCCGCTCTGGGAACCCTCCCAGCTCGTCCGCGAGGAGGTCTCGGGTCTGTACGCCAACAGGGCGCAGGCGCACATGGCGCTGCAGCAGTGGGCAGAGGGCTCCGTCGACGCCGAGGCCAGCGTCGAGGCGCGCAAGGTCGGCAACGCAAAGGCGTGGTGGCGTCGTGGCAAGTGTCTCATGGAAATGGGCAGGTTGGAGGAGGCGAGGGAGTGGGTTGGCAAGGCTCTCGAGTATGAGGGCGAGGAGGGCGAGCTCGTTGCGCAGTACAAGGAGATTGAGGCTCGTCTGGAGAAGGCGTAAGTCCGAAAAGGCGTACGACTCTTTCGAAAAGGGGGGGGTCGACCATGTTCTATACGAACGCCGAGGAAGCAAAGAGACATTCCACTTGAAGTACTCAAGGATGTTCATACACAGACACATCGATATGGCAACGTGTAGTTTTTTTAGAACGGGGTGTTCGGGAGCGAGGGGGCAAAAGCCTGGCCAAGCAGTCTTGGGCTTCTGTTTTGGCAGCGCATAATACCCATGAGAGAGCCGCCTCCTCGCGCACAAAGATGGAGAGTGCGGGTAGACGCAATGGTTTGGCGGCTTGAAGAATCTCCAGGCATCTTACGTTGGTCTTGGGCGCTGATTGTCTTATACTTTGACATAGGGCTTGTTTGTTATTAGCCACTACAAATTTCCCCAGCAATGCGACGTCCATCGTTTGCGACACTCGCGCCGAGCAAACATGTTAGGCTGGAAATCAGACGAGAACATATTGGGTAGATCGGGTCATTGAGCATTTCTAGTATACCATAGGTAAAACTACCTATACATCCCAGTTTCGTCAAGAAAACCCCTATGCCGTGATCCCAAGTCTCTGCGATAAGACTTAGCGAGTAATGCCTCTCGGAGTAGGAAATATGTAACGCAGCCGGAGCATCGCAATAAACCATTTAAACACTATGCATGGGATGCCATCATTGCGCCGTGAGCGCTCCAGTCATCCTCTGGATATCCCAACAAACCAAAATCACTCTTCACAACTTGTTTGTTTCCACGATGGCCCCATTCCCAAGTCTTAGTCCAAGTTCCGTATCCATTACCCCTCCGTATGTTCATTCAGAGGTGTATCGTCTGCCTCATCTCGTCGCGGGCGATGTTGTACGACGGGGTCCTCAACTACAGCGAGCTGTCTAGCCGGACAGCATCAAGTCTGAATCCCACTCTTGTCGTTCCATGTTCGTGTGGCAGATGGCCCGTGACGGTCTGGTTCCGATTGTTGTGTTTGTTTGGGTTGTGCGGTAGACATGGCCTGCCACGGCCATTTTTTCGAGGTCAAAGGTTGCTCGACAGTCTCCTACGCGGCCTGAGCAGGCTTCTCGTTCAGGGTCTTGCCGCGTGGACGCATGACGGCATCCTGGCTGCTCATTCTCCGGTCCAGCGCGCGTTCCAACTTGGCGCCGAGAGCAAGCTTGCTCAGATTCGCGCTCTTCTCCTCGCTCAGAGTGACTCTTTGGGAACTAAGGGCCTTGTTCTCCATACGGTCGAGGCCGACAGCGATATCGGTGATCTCGGCGTGAGCCGAATCGTTTGTCTGAATGGTGTTGGCAAATGAGGGCGCCATGCTATACGTGCTGTATCGCACAGAGGTACGCACCTGAGGGGGGGTTTCTGTTAGTACGGCGGTCATTTTGATATTTGGTTGAGGAGGACGGCACAGATGGAGGATCGAAGTGAATGGAGCAGAGGGTCGGCGAGAGGTAGGTAGTAATAGGATTGGACAGGAACGGGTCAAAAGGCAAACAAGATCGGATAGGTGGGTAGCTTGGGGGGGAGGACCGGGATTTGCGGTGTCCAAGTGCAAAAAGGGCAAAGGGGCGGTTGCGAGCGAGGCGAAGCAGGTGAGAACAGACGCAAGACAGATGCAGGTAGGGCAGTTAGGGCGAAAAAGGCAACATCAGGAGAGGAACAAACGTACAGAGGGAGCCATGATGGGACGAGAAGAATCGAGCGAGGTAGGCATTGTGTTGATTTTTTTTTTGGGTTTGGCGAGATCCCTGCGTAAAAAAGGTTCGTGTTGATGTGGTCGTCCAGTCTCAACTATGGTTCGAGTTTCCACAGGCCGGGGCTTGCTTCACGACTGTCGGACCAGGCAAGCAGGCGAGCCGAACAGGGCGAAAGGGAATTGGCACTGGATTGGATTTTGGCAGATTGGGATGATTGCAGTGAGGTGCAGGATTGCTGCTGGACACGGTGCTCTTTGCGGCAGAGGCAGCGACAGCGGCAGCGAGTGCGGTAGGAGGGGAGCGGTCTCCGGTGGACGTTGGCCGTGAACCGTGAATGTGAGGGCGGACGTGAGCGACTTTAGTCGTTCCTTGGTGCGTTCTCCGTTCGCTTCGGGGGTGTGCGTGTGGGCGCGTGTGGGTTGGACCGTTGGCTTCTGAAGATTGAATGGAATAGCGGTCGCAAGTCAAGTTTTGGCGAGCTCTGTGAGGTCACTGAAAGAGCAAAATTGCGGAAAATCAGGGACCTGCAGGCTTGTGCTAGGTCCTTGGTTGGCGGGTTGGCGTCTCGAGAGGAGCGAAGTTGTCTACACGGAGGCGAGATGGAGGCGACTTGTCGGTCGGGGGGGGGACGATCGATGGGTCTGCACCGGGGGGATTGAGCCTTGAGGTAGTATCGTGGACGTTGAACCTTTACGGTGGTCCAGAAAAAAAAGCAGAAAAAAGGGAGCGAGTGGTTGATTGATGACGGAGAGGGACTGGGTTAATTGGGAGGAGGGAAGACGAAGAGGAGAACGGAGGACGGAGGACGGGTCCATATGCAGATTGGGAAGTCGCGGCAGGAGCGAGGGGAGCACGGAAATAATATCAGGCAGGCACACTGCTGTGGATCTGCGCCTGCCTTTTTTTCTTTCTTTTTTTTTCTTACTGCCCTTTGCACTTTCCACGTCTTCTCCTAAGGTAAGGTAAGACTCCTGGAGACTGGAGAGCGCCTGCCCGACCTGGGGGTTTGGGACTGGACTCATGGACGGAGGCCGGGAGTGGACGGAGCCTGGGACGCGCTAAGCAAGGCCACCTGGAGAAGGCGGGCAGGCGGGCTAGGCCAGGCCAGGTCAGGCACACTTTCCCTCCCTGCCTCCCACCTCTCACCTCTCACCTCTCAGTACAGTAAGGTGCCACCTAGCCGTAGGTACCTGACAGGAGTACCTACGTACGATAAGGTAAGGTAGGTAACCTCTTTCTCTCCTCCACTGGCTTCCATTGACTGTTCATTTCGCATCCAGGCTCAGTGCCCGGCACCTGGAAAGCACGGCAAGAAGATACATACTTCCTGCACTTTCCCTCTGAGACTTCAGGTGCGCAATGATTCGAGGTGATGATCGACGGATGTCAGGTTGATAAGGTAAGGTAGAGGCAGACACGGAGATAGTACATGACACAGGTACCTTGAAAAGGGGGTCAAAGGAGGGAGGCAGGACCTATTTGAGAAGGAGCGCCTTCATCCCAAAGCGATTAGGGAGAAAGCACGGCATGAAGTCACGATCAATAGGAAGGAGAATGACACTTGTGTGACTGTCAGACTGGTCTACACATAGCTACCTTAAGGTATCTATCTACCTTACTTACCGAAGGTAGTCACGTACCTGTGTAGGTAGATACGTAGTGAACGGATACTGGAGGAAAGAATGCTGGACTTCCGACTTGCACCTGCAGCAGGAGCACCTGCGCTACTGTCACTTGAGATGGGCTAGGCAGAAAGGAGGAAGCAGCCATGTGCAGAACAGGGATCAGGTCATCAGGAGGGGAGGGA